AATAAATGTTAAATTACTTCGATTATTTACTTGGTTGATATAGTTATTAATGCCTAGGGGTTTGCTAGAGGAGCTATCACCTAATGATGAAGAGATGAAAATAGCTATTTAGGAAGGAAATAGGGACAGAGAGAGGGGGATTGACAATGATTATTGTTTTCCATAGTTGCCAATGTTCATATTTCACTCTGAGACTATTCCTTATTGTCAAGATGGCCTTTTTAATTTGCTCTTATAGGACATTGCACGCAAACGGTAGGCAGATGAAGTTTCGGCTTTTTCCTTTTTTTCCTTCCGTGAATGCTTCCTCATTTCTTTCATTTCGATCACATTTATGCTGAAGTTTATTTCTTTTTTAATATCAAACGGCAGGCGTTTTGCTAGTTATCATTAGCCCTTCAGTTGACTTCAGGCTTCACAGATTGGAAGAAACATTAAAGTGAAAAAGGCTGAGAGGGAGGGGGGGGGGACAGAAAACTGTTTCAAAGATGTAAAAGAATCTGACACAAAGGTAGGAAAAAGGTAAGATGAGTACTCTCGAATATGGCATACAGTGAGGAGTGATGGTAGTTTGAAGTCAGAAGCCAACCGGCGGTTAATAGACTTTTTTTGCCGCATGAATATACGTTGCCCAGGAGGTGAGTCTATCGCATACCCCCATTTATGCTGAAGTAAAATTCTGAAATTTTCCCAAAATGTGAGGAAACTAATAAGTCCTAGCATATCTACACCGCAAGTGAAGATATCATATTGTTAAGGTGCCGCACGGACATGAAAACCGTCGAGCTTTGGAGCATGTGAAAGTTTATACCATGCCCTATTGACTGGCTGCAACATGATTCAATGAGCCATGGCAAGGTGGCGATACTGATCTTAAATCGTAGCTCTCCTTGGAAAGCTTATTTTTATGTCCTAAGTTACGTTAGAATTAGATGGAGGTAAAATTTTGATATAACAAGGATTATGTTATTTATATAACTGGGATAGTATAAGGTTGAATAGCAAACCTCTCCAACATGTATTCACTGTGCCCAGTCCGTGATCTTTATACACATTTTGACCACCTATGGCTACTTAGTGTGTTCCTACCCTAACTCCCCAATTCCTGAACGTTCTATTTCTCTCCAGGTTAAAATCCCTTTGTGGGTAGTTATAAAGAGCTCTGTTTAATGACTCCATTTTAACTCTTTCAGTTGCTTTTAACTTACCATTTTTCTGGACGCCTTTCTAAAATACTACTTGAAGGGCTGTATGGACCAATCTTAGCTGTAATGAAATCGATTCTCAATCGTCGGTGTTATCAGTGATCTCCACAGAAAGGTCCGAAAGTACTTACTACCCGAGGTCGTCAACTGTTGTTAAGACCTAGGTAACTGTAATTATTTATTCTCAGCTGGAGTTGGGCACAGAATAGTACTTGCTTTCACTTGTGAACTTAGTAAAATCCCACTATTTCATAGTTCATTTTAAGTTCGGCTTCATAGTAATAGAAGCCCGTCATGGAAAGGGGCCAATTTAGAAAACAGGTCTCTGTGCTATTTCGCAAATTTCTATTTTTCGAGATTTTATTTCATATTGTACTTTACGCTTCGTTTCGATCAAAAGGGAGCCTTTCCTGAGAAGAGAAGCATTTTAGACTGATGAGAAACTTTCTCTCATATTTGATGTCTCTCTACCTATTTTAATCAGTACGAATGACAATTCACAATTCAAGGAATTTAAAGTTTGAAATGATTTCTCTTTGACTTTTTTAGGCAGAAGCTAATCGTTCGATGTCTGGAAAGCCTCTTTCCTCCTGACAGACCGGATCTTGTCATTCAACTTTTCAAAGAAGCCGCTGTTCAACCAATGAAACGCCCAATTCAAGTTAGTTCCCACACGTCACTCATTTCATTGATTTATCTATTCTCATTTTTCAAAGGCTCCCAATACTCAAAATATCAGTTCGGCATTTTATTACTGCTAAAAGGGATTGCAGTTTTCCGGTTGTGGAAAAAATAGGTAAATATGTAGTAGGCATGCTTGGAGGTGTGGTTGCAAAATTAAATTATTTTTTCTGTTATGAACACTTCGAAGTGAATTGTAATATTGGTGTTAAATGTATCTGGCTATTTGAATCGATTGGGTTTGTAATAAGAGTAGGCACCAATTCGAATACGTTTTTATCCAGGTGACGCTATCGCTTTTCTTTTTAACAGAAGAAACTTCCTATGAGATTTTATATACAACTACACTTCAAAGCTCAAATGGACGTAACTCGTCTAGAATAGTTTTGCTGATAGGTTTGTTAACTGGTGCGAAGTCGTCTAGATGACCTCGTCTTCATTCACAAACAGAGTCCATGGATGACAATAACGGTCAGCCCTGTTGCCAATCGACCCTGAGCACTACCTTGCTCGTTATGCTTTCATCAATGCTAATGAGTTAGTTGAAGGTTAGGGTAAAAGTGAATACTGTATCTTTCCAAAGCCATACCACTTTGCGGAGAATACTTTGGAGGAATCATTTACCACCATTATCTCATAGGAGGTGTATCACCTCCTATTGATATTATCTCCAAATCCATAACTGGGTTGCTGCTGCTATTGCTGGTTTATAGGCATTATAAATCCACTTTGTGATGCCTTGGCAACCGCAGAGTGAAGGTTAAAGGCCAATTTGGCTAATTTTTATATTGCTTTATTTACGTTTTCAAAGACCTCAGTAACTAAGTTTGGCATATTTTTTTATTTTTTCCCGCAAAAAGTAGTTTATTAACGCCAGAGGAGTTCCCTTCTTCAACAAGGAGCGATTTCCTTTCTCAAATGCTATTCTTGAGGCAAGAGATCGATTAGTTGTTAGCTCTTTCTCCTGAAACCTCGTTGAGATCGGTGCGTATGTATGCTCGAGAAGTCAATTTTGGTTCTAGCTTAGTTTTTGGGGTGATTAAGGTCAGGAGAGTTGCAGTCCGTATTTTAGAAATCAGCTCTTTCTTTTGAATAGCACATGTAAGCTTTTGCAGATTATTAAAGCATGTATGAACCAAGATTCATAACTTCGATTATAGTCGAGATTTTTTGATGTATTTTTCATTACAAATCGAATGAGTGTCACTAATTCTGGATAGTTTATTTACTTAACTGTAAGAAATTGTTATACGATTCTTCATTAACCTTGTGTTTAAGATTCTCTGAAAGATTATTATTTATTGCGCTTAGCCATATCTTATTATCCCTGGCGTGTCATAGATTTCCAGTTGACAATAGGAATCGTGTTGTTCTCCTTAGAAAATGGCCAATTTGAGTGGCCTATTCTCAGTCAACCCCGTGTGAGAGGCAAAATTGCACACCTCTGTGTCTGTGATTCTTGTCAGGCTAAAGCTAAAGACTCAACAGTGGGCTCTCTACCGCCAAGCTCCTAAACTTTTGTCTGCTTTTATTTTAACTCAATTTCAATGAATAATTTTGCTGAACTCTCCTTTTTCTCCCTTCAACGGTCTCGCGCAAATTCGTCTAACATTGATGGATTTAAGTCAAAATGCAGCCGTTTTGAGACTTGTTGTGAAGGACCGTTGATGTTGAACCCTAGATGCGATTGGTGATTAGCGAGTGACGTAGCATCGTGAAACGACCCGCAAAATACTTTATTACCTATTATTAATGTGGAAAGCTATTAATTTATCATGTCAAGACGCAAGTTATCAGTTACTAGTGCTGGGAGACGAGTTAATACTCTCTCTCTCTCTTGAGAGAGTAATAATTAGATCAGTTTTTACAGATTTATTATTTTATCTCTGCTATTCTAAGGCCGTAAGCTGTTGTCTTGTAAAATCACTTTGCCTTCTGAGCCATAAAACCGACCCTTCATTATGAAAATAAAACGGTTGTTAAAACACCAAAATTCCTGGACGAATCAGGCAGCTTAAATTTTATTCGTATTAGCAATTGTCTGGCAAAATGTGGGCATGAACATTATACATGCCAAAGAAACGCCTTTAAGCCCATTCTTAGTAATTTCTCGATGATCTTGATCTACTGCAGAGAGAGAGAGAGATAGGACTTGCCAGGTATATTCCACTTTTTCCGTCAAACCGAGTTTTATTGATTAATGCGATGTGAACTCGTATCACTTTGCCCAGGAATACCAGAATAAGAGATTGTACTAAAGGGCACAGCGTACTTTCCTCTTTATTGTCTTACGAGATTAACAGTTTTAATATTTGTTTATTCTCCACATCACATCAGCAATGACCGCATTTTTTACTTTTCTGTGTAAAATGCGCACAAATGTTGTGTGCATTCTGTATGGCGTTTAAATTATTAACGAATTTTGGACGGAACTATAAAAAATGTCGATGGAAATAGAAGCAAACGTCTCATTTTTTCATTTCTCTTTTTNCTAAGTAAATAGAAGTCGAATTTAACAAAATTCCTTTTCAATTTTGCAATTTCAGTTGAGCAATTTGGAGTTTCGTGATCTCTGTGAAGTGTACGAGAGGATATGCGCTGCTAACGAGAATGTCTTTTCCTACGAATTCCGAACACCTCAAAATCTCCCTGAATGGCACGCAAGAAGGAAAACTCAACGTGAGATACTCAAAGAACCCATCACTGCAGAAAATGTTCGCAAACAGATGTACAAATAAGTGCAATCATTGACATCGTCACTATTTGATCATCAATTTCACCTTGTTTTGTGCATAGAGATAGTCGATTTTTGTATTTCCATTTCAACTCGAAACAGCCTAATAGAGTACTGTGCTTCTTACGCTTTAGAACGCGACACTGTATTATTACTTCTCGAAATTTGGTGAATTGAATCTAATCGGCTTAATTTTACATTGTGATGCGAAGGAACCAACCTGGTTCTATTGCCATTAAACATAGACGGGATTCATTGATATTTGTTTAATACAGACACGCAGAGTGGTTGGTAAAAGCAGTGGCGGATTTGAGGTAACGCCGTAATTTAAAATGGAGCTTCAACTATTTGGTGTCAGCCTGTGATCACTGCACACTGCAACACCTCCAAAGGACATTGCACCTGAGACTTTTTAAGTCAATCCTAACAATGCCTGCAATTGAAATGCATGAAATCTCTAAGTATTTTGAATTTTTTCCTCCATATAAATGAGTGAAATTATGGAAGTTCCAAGACAGCAGATTATATATGAAGCGATTAGTGAATCTTAATAGGGTAGATCAATGCCTACCCATTAAAGTGCCCAAGGTTCAGTAAAGCAAAAATGTATCGAACGTGCCTTAAATCTGTGGATCGCATCATTACCGCAATTCCCACTTGCAAGTCCCAGAGTTATTTGACTCTTTCAATATATGCATTGTGGATATGGATAACAGGTCATCGTATTAAAAGTGTGTGGACGCGGCCAATAATTTAACTCAAATTTGAGGGACTTCCTTAACAAATCAAAGCACTTTCTGAGAATTCATGATCTACCCAATTCTCGGAAGATAGAGTAGATCACCTAATAGACCGCCAGACACAGGTGAACCAACTTCCAGAATATCTATGAGACGAACTATCGAACCTTCATTAGATGCAATAAAGCGTACGAACTAATCAACTATGGGTGCTTCAGGATTCACAAGTATATCAATTACTAAAAATATGATTTAATGAAGTAGGTTATACTAAACGTTTCATTTCGACCCACACTCCTCCACCAATGCTTCCACAAATGACTGTACCCACGTTCAATATTCAAGAAGAAATTTGCTCTAAAATCCATAAGGAAATCTCAGACTATACTCCTTGCGAAATACCTCATTTGAGGTTTGTCTTAGAGTGCTTAACGATTCTGAATTTCAAAACGCCTTGAAATTCTTTTCAAAATACGAGTGAGATTGAGTTTGAAAATTGAGGTCAAAGTCACTTTTATAAAGTTGAGTTCAAATTTTGGGAGAATGCTTTCACCGAAGGCGAAATCAAGTGCAACTCTGACATTGACACACTTGTGAAAGAACAAGGAGCTTCACAGCAAACATGCAATACTTCTGCCAATGCTCCATTGCAGAACATGGAACAAAGAATGTGGAGTGCAGGATTGCTGTTTTGTGAAGCCTAAGACTAACACACCTCAACTCCTGTTTTGATGCTGTTGCCTGCTACAACAAGAGTTATTGCAGTAGCTACTGTGCACTAATAAGCCATCGAACATGTTACAGTTATGTGGCCAAATGTATCTTCACCGTCAATCGACAACATGCATTGGAACATTCCAAGGCATTTATTTTAACTTCACAATTTCCTTTCATATTTCAAATAGAGTTAAAGGAGACAGGTAGACATAGATTCATCCCACAGGTAGCATCTGTCAACAGATAATTCAATTCTAGCTTAAATCATCAAGTGATTAATGGTGATAGAAAAATTAGTGAAATATTCCAATTGAATGGAACTGTTTTAATGTTGTCTTTTCCATCATAAAATGTTTAACTCGTTTATTGTTGTACATAAAAGTCAACTATGAACAAAAATGAAAAAGTTAAAAAGGGTCACAATTCATTTGATAGGGGGATTTTCTCTAGCTCTTGACATTGGAAATGCCAATGAACATTCCAATCGAATCTGGCTAAAGGCAACGCAATTCCTACCCACATCCCAATTGGTTGTTAAATGTGGATTCTTCAGGAGAGGGGTGGGGGGAGTATAGAACTGTTGTAGATGGATATTTCTTCAAACAAACTGATAAGATTGTTGTATCCATGATATGGGCTGAAATGGAATGAAAGGTCGTTAAATTTACAATCCATGGCTTTCTTCAGTCACGGTGTTAATCAGGTGAATGGCCTCTTAAACTTGCACATAAGACATTTTTAATCTACTTAAATTAGCTTCAGTAGGAAATATTTGATTTCCAAAAATAATTTGGCATGCAGAGAATGATTTTCAGGCAAATCGATTCAATGACCAAACGTTAAGGAGGAACGTTAAATTTAAAGGAGCTAAAATTGTAAACGGTAGTGATGTGCCCTGCTCAACAGACTTTTATCATCATCGCGATAGACAGGTTTCACTATTTAAAATAATGATAAAGTCGGTGATGCAAGGGTTCCCTCAAATCTGTGAAAATGGAAAGTTAATTGATAAATTAATTCAATAGAATTGATATGGCCTTCAACAGAACATTTGTTCAAACTGAAAGTAAGCACATAAATTGAAAATAACAAGAAACTGAGGAGGGTAGTGATGTGCCTTGCTCATCGGACTTGCATCATTCGGTTAAAAGTCCGTTTTCACAATTCAAGCGAATGATGAAGTCGATGATGCAAGGGTTCTCTCAAATTCACGGAGATGGGACAGAATTGCCAAGATATTCAAACTCGAATTGGCCTAGATGAATTTCAGTTTAATTTTTCGAACACTCATTAGCCGTTGTCGTTCACTGTGCAGATGTACTCTGGCGTAGCATTCTTCAACTTTCCACTATGTTTATATAGTTATTCTCAAAAGTTTAAATTAACATATCTCAGATCATGAATTGTGGCAAATCTCACAAATTTCTTAAGATGCTTAACAGGCACCTCAGTGCGCCTCAGTGATTTACTAGAGGAAAAGAAATAAATTTTCTTTCTGAACTAAGTTCATCGGAACAGACAATTTTGCCAAATATGCTCACCTTCCATCCNGTTGGCAAGAATTCAATTTGGGTAACCAAAATCTATTGGAAAAACTGCTCTCTAGTTACATACTCAGCCAATGGGTTATATACACAAATTCTGTTTCCAGAAAAAAATTGAAAGGTAATTATGGGACAACAAGTGTTTTGTGTGCATAAATATGCCTAATGTGCCAAAATGCCAGCCAAAACTTTCGAAAATAAAGTTATGATTTTAAATAAATTAAAATTCATTTGTATATCTTGTATATCTTGAGAGCTTAAGAACCTGACAAGACATTGCACTAGAGGGTTGAGAAGAAATTGACTGCAGTGACATATTTGTGGGACAGGTCATCGCATTCCTGCACGCCAGGATTAGGAGGTGAGGCCGTGCAACTCTGTGTGCCACGACCGTGCAAGCAGAGACCAATTAGTAGCCTCTGTTTAACCTAATCCGCCGCGCTGATCATGGGTAGCTCCCTGCGTGGCCACTTTACTCACAATAACCTCACTGAATTAACGTGTTTCGTGCTCTGCGTATGTCTCCTCTATAGCTGGGCTATAGCTTAGGTAGTTCTGGGAGTCTAGCTAGATGTTGGAGAATCTGCCACAGAGATTTCTGAGTCAGTCAGGCTTTACTGGTGTAGCAATCCGCTACATATTAGTTTGAAAATAAATATATTATGAGAATAACAAACCCTGTGCTACTTCAACTGCATTTCAATATTGTAAAATCATAATTCGTTTGCATTTCACCCCACCTTTCCGCCTGCAATGTGACCAGGCACAGAAAATGAATATCACATCAATACGTAGATCTCCAGATTTTGCAGGGCTCCAACTCTCTATTAAGACAACAGGTAGCATAAAATGCATAGCTGTTAGGTGGAGTTTCAATGAAAACTTGACTCTCACAAAAGTTTCAAACGCATCTTTGCAACTCAAATAAATTTCCATGAAAATTACAATTTTGATCCCAATTATGCTCTAATTAGCAGGCTCACAACTTTCGTAGCTGTAATATTAAATTATATAATATTTGATATTGGTGTCCATTTGAAAATGTCGATTCTCAAACCATTGGCCGTAAAAATGTCTTTAACTTTAAGAAATGGCATTGAAGATAACATTCTTTCATAAGTAGCAAACCACTATGATGTTCCAACCAAACCAGGTATCAATTCACATAAATCTCTCTTCATTACAAATATTTTGCAGATCTTTATAAGAATTTTTCATACTTGGCTTCTTAATTATTAGCCCACAATTAAAAATTTATTTTTCAAAATATTCCCAACGTTGAGTAAACTGAGACAATTGTTTGGTGTTATCAGGTCAAAAATGGCGTGTTTTCATACAAGGCGAATATGAGATGCGTAAATT